TGGGTTCTGAGAGCACGTCGTGGTGGGCCTGTAGGCATGCCGGGACGGTCGGTCCCTGCGCCAAGGAGGACGACGACCCCGAGGCCGTGGCCCGGGTGTTCGCGTGCGCCCGCCGCCTGGCCCTCGGCGCCGCGCCGCGCTGCGGCGGCGCCGCGGGGGTCCGGCCCGTCGGGGCCCCGTGAGCGCCCAGCAGGGGGGGGGGGGAGATCGCCGAATTCCTTTCAAGCCTTCGCTGTTCCGAAGCGGATTTTTTGAATCGCCAGGGCGGGTTTGATTCCTGGCTCCTTTATAATTAGCTGTTTCAATCTCGGCATGGCACCGGTCTGCAGCGGCAGCTGCTCCAGGAGAACTCCTGGTTCACGGCCAGCACAGGGCGGCGTCAGTGAATTTTTGAAGCCGAGCGAGGAGACCGAATAGGGTGTCCTCTTCCTCTCCGCACGCGCCTCGTACTCGCGCCGTGTCGGGGCATCTTGTCCTCACTTCAGTCCGACCCCCCCTCCAGCCATGGATGTAAGCACGTGCGCTCGTGCAAACATACACATCATTGCGGTCTACTCTGCTGCAGCCATGCTTTGTAAGCTGCCGCCTTTTTTTGTCAACGCAAGTTTTTTTGATGCTGCACTCTGATCGTTGCAGTCAATTTTTGACAGCCGCGTGTCGCGACGCGTGGCGCATTTAGTTTGGCCGGTCGAAGCATCGAGCCAGACTCTTTCTCACTGCTGCGCGCGCCGGTGCTGCACGCGTGCAGGCCCCGCCGTGCGGCGAGGCGGAGCCGATCTCGACCCCGAGTCGCTCGGGGATGCGGCTCCTGGACCCTGCAGCCTGGCGCAGGGGCTTCGCGCAGAAATTCTGCACGAACGAAGTGGGCACGGCGGAAAGAATGGGCACAAAGCCCAGCACCGGATCCGGTTCATTTTGAACAGGACTCGCTGTCCACGCCGCCGCGGCCCGTGTCCATTCGAGACAGAAGGCCGCCTGCCCAACAGCGGCCGCTGCTGGTTCGGGACAACATTTGTTGTTGGGCATTGTACCCATTCTTTCCGTACCCATTTCGGGCGTTCAAAAAATCAAAAAACATGTTTTCTTGATTCGCGGGTCGAGAGCGCACCTCTTCCGGTCGAAGCTAAGCGGGCCGCGCGAAGCTTGAACTAACTAGAGATGGGGGAGGAAAAGGGGGGCGCAGCCTCAGAACGAGGCCGGGAGGAGGCAAAGCCTCGGGAAACAAAAAAAATCAAAAACAAACAAGTGTTCAGAGTCGTTCGACGAGGCGCCCGAGAAGCGCGGCAACAGGCCCCGAGGTGCAGGTATCCAAGATTCCTCTGGCCCCCCCAACTCAGGCACAGTGGCGGCAGGGGCCGAAGGCCATAGGTAAGCAAGCAATCGGCTTGGCGACGGTCCCATCCAGTCATGTGCAGCGCAGGGCGCGAGGAGCGATGCGGGAAGCGGACTGCTGCGGAGCACGCGTGCACTGGTGAGCCGAACTCCTTTCTGCTGGGCACGATCCGCGTGAAGGGTGTGCCGAATGATTCGGATGCCCCTCCGCCAACACGCCCACTGAGGCCGCAGGAGGACCTCGTCCGGGCACGATTCGTGCGATGCAGGCTCCGAAATGGGCAGAGAGGCGCCATGCGAAGCTGCCCATTGGTGCCATTTGTGGAGCTCCTTCTGGGGCTTGATTCGCGTGACGGGTGTGCGGACATGGGCGGTAGGGGGGCGCTGTACGAACCTCATCTTTGGGCTTTTAGGTGGTGTTCCTTGTATGTATGCAGGATCCGCGTGATGGGGTGTGCCGCCACGGGCGAGGGGGCGCAATGCGAACCTGCCTCTGGGGCCATAGGTGGAGATCCCGATATCCCCGTCGGCAACGATCCGTGCGAGTGGTGTGCCGAAGTATGCTGGGGGGGCGGCGTGCGAATCTTGCCTCTGGGACCCTGGGACCGTACGTGGACTTTTCTGTGGGTTCACGATCTGTGTGTGAGAGGTGTGCCGAAGGAAGCTGGGCGACGCAATGAGCTTCCCTCTGGTGCCGCAGGCGCAGTTATTTGCTGGGCGCGATCCGCGTGAGGGCCGTGCCAAGATGCGAACCTTGTCTCTGGGGACGTAGGTGGAGATCCTTCCAGGGAGCGACCCCTTTGAGGGGTGTGCCGGCATGGGCGGGGGGACGCTAAGCCAAGCACGTATCTTGGGCCGTCGGTGGAGCTCCCCGAGGGGCACGATCCGTTTGACGCTATCTGTTTTCCGACGCCGAACACTTTAGAGACTACAACCAGAACTTGCTGAAGCCTGAGCGCGCGCGAAGCGCGCGCGTGGTTTTAGTTTTACTGATGTGTCGTTTTTCGCTCGTTGTTCGCGCGAAGGTGCGCGAACAACGAGGGATGTTGCGCTGCATGCGGGCGACTGTTCCTTCCCACCAGCACTGCAAACCAGAGGCAAGGAGCAGGGCTCCGCGCAGCGTGGCGTTAGCCTGCCACGTCTACTGGCGCTCTCGTTTGTGGGTTCACACATCCCCCAGGCGTAACATCAGGACGACGAGGAGGAGGAGGAGGAGGGAGGACGAGGCGAAGGAGGAGGAGGAGGAGGGGAGGAGGAGGAGGATGAGGAGGAGGAGGGAGGAGGAGGAGGAGGAGGAGGAGGAGGAGGAGGAGGAGGAGGAGGAGGAGGAGGAGGAGGAGGAGGAAGAGGAGGAGGAGGAGGAGGAGGAGGAGGGAGGGAGGGAGGGAGGAGGGAGGAGGGAGGGAGGGAGGGGGGAGGAGGGAGGGAGGGAGGGGGGAGGAGGGGGACGGTCCATCCCCGCTCCTCCGTCCCAGCTGCCCTGCCTCGTGGCTCGCTGGGTGCAGGCCCCTCGGGGGCCTCCTCCGCGGGCCGCCCGGTGCTGTCGCGGCCCGGCCGGCGGCGTCGACGCGTGCCCGCGCGCACCCTCAGCGTGTGGCGCCGCCGCCACTGCAGGTGCCGCCGAGGGTCCGCGGAGGCCAGGCGCAGAGGAGAAGGCAGGGGGGGGGGCGGCCCAGACCGTGCCCCAGACGCTCTACACCTGAGCCAGGGGGGGGGAGCGTGCGGCTGTGAGGTGCGCAAGGAAGTGCGTGAGTGCTGGCCTGGAGCCACAGATCGGGGGCGCACAGGCGGCGCGCACACGCGCGCGCAGTCTCGCAGGCCACGCAGAGGGGAGCGCGCCAGCGGAGCAGGAGGGTTCGAGGTGGCCGAGCCGTGGCGCGCGCGGACGGGAGAGCTTGGGGCAGCAGTGGGGGTGGGCGCACGAGGGGGCTTGTCTTTACAGGCGGGTCCGCGCGGCAGCGGGGCGGTGATTCGGACGCATGTTGACCAGCGTGGGCCCCAAGCAGTGCTGGCAACCTGGTCTACAACATGCCCTGTGCGCGCCTTGTCTGGGTTGTGGGACTGGGCACGCCCTGGATGGACCGCGGCCTGGCCCTCCCAAGCGAGCCCCTGCCGCCTTCGCCCCAGGCTTTCGGGCGCAGCTACCGACCCAGGGCAAACCGGCGGTGCACGCCCAAGGACTTGCCAAGGCAGGTTCCGAAAGCCTGGGGCAGGGAGACCCATTGTGCTGCAGGCATCGCCAGCACCCTGGCATGGACACCTTGGCGCACCTCCCCCAGCCAGCTCCGTCAGGCCAGCTATTCAGACGTGGCATGATAGACACGGACGGGCAGCACATGGACTCCCCCAAAGCTCGTTCTCTTCTGATAATCATGATGCTCAGGCCTCAGGAAACCCAGGGTTTTCCTATGGCCGTTCCCCCAGGCAGAGGGCACAGGAAACGTCATCGAAGCGGTGTTTGGCATTTGCGCTCCGTGGCGAGATGCCCACCTGGAGTTCCTGTTGCACACCACCATGAATCAGCAAAAGACGCCAACTGCCCACAGACCTGGAAGGACGTGGAGAAGCATGATTTCAAGCGGGAAGCACACATGCTTGTCCTGGAGCAGATCGTACCCGCGGCAAGCATCGCAGTCCTGGCCAACGCCGCGTGTTCCATTTGTGCACTCCACCGCGAGTTGGCTGAGTCGGACACCAGGTTAGGAGGCGACCAGACGACGATCTTGCCCTGGGATACATCGGGGGAGGCACAGCCCTCTCGCGGAAGGACCTGGGGGGCCCCGAGCCCGCCCCCCTGCTCCTGGCGCGCAACTGGCCCCCCCTTCATCGAGTGCGGCCGCCTGGAGGCGGTGCAGAAGGATGCAAAGTTCACCTGCGACGACTGCGGCAAAGTTCTCCTCAAGTCGACCCAAGGGACCTGGGGGGGCGACGAGGCCAGGGAACTCCTGGCACACAACCGCCCATAGGCGTGCCTCTCCGACAAGAGCTGCAGGTGGCTCTGTGAGAGCTGCTGGGTCACCGGCGTCGAACGGCTCGGGAAACCCACACCAGTGGATGCCGACGTGATGCAGCGAGCCTAGGACTGCAACGCAGACCTCGCACACGGCAGGGAGCGGAGGAGGGCGGCATCCCTCCCCTCGCTCACGCACCTCCCACTCGGGCACGGGGGTCGCCCGTGCGCCGCCGACCCTGTCCCCCTGCAGGACCTCCCGATGGTCACAGTGAACCAGCACTGCCCTACCCCAGCCAATTCAACGTTGCCAGCCCATAGGATCAACGATGGAAGGTTCGGGGGAGATGCTCGCAAGACTCGCGCCTACTCTGCGAAGTGCGACACATGCCCCCCAGATGCCCCTCTCCTTGCGTGGAAGGTTTCGCGCCCCGCGCTCTGTTGCTTCCTGTGGCGACCTGAGCCTGGCACCGACACCGATGACAGCTCTGGGCTCCCTCCCTGGAACCAGTGGCCGTCCGCCTGGCAAGAGCGGAAATGGAATGCCACGTGGCGCTGCAGGAGGTGCCTCGTCCACATATGGGACGTCGCGCCCGGCGCCTTGGATCGCATCCTTACCTCGACCCCAATAAGGTCCACCCAGAGGACCCACCTAAAAGGCCACACCAGGGCATCAGGCACCAAGGCGCCCCAGAGGTCGCGGACCAGCTGCACTCAGGGCTCGCCAACGCCACCGCCAAGGACGAATACTCCAGGGATCCAGCAGCACGGAGCTCACGGGATGGCAACAGCGTTCCCGCGGGCGGTTGCGCCGGGGGCGCTCCCATCAGGACAACGTCGGATCTACTTGCCCTCCTGCCAGAGCTCTCTCCGCCCAGTTCCCCCCTACTCAGCTCGAGGTTAGCTGCGGATATGCGCCTGGCGGCGGACGACGCACAGAAGCGCAGTCGGTCCAACCAGCTCCGCGAAGTGCAGCACATCCTCGTCACCTACCCCCGCGACTTTCACCCAGACGTCGACCCGTTCTGGCTGGAGTACGCGGAAGCCCAAGGCGGCGACACCCCCGAGCTGAGAGACCGGGAAACGTCTTGGCCGGCTAAAAATTTAGTACCCTTCCTGTCCAGGATGCACGGTCCAGAGGTGCCAGCAGACGGCTCGCCGCCACACGTTGACTGGGACGGTAAGCGCTGGGCGGCCGCCAGAGCGGTGAAGCACCTCGCCAGCAATCCACTTCACAACGAAGCCCGGCAGAAGCACTGCACCTCCCTGGCGCGAGACAAGGGGCCCAGCCCTTTTCGACACGAGCACGACGTACTCGCAGACTTCTCAGTGGGCCTCGACGCGAGCGCCTCCGCAACGGCCACCATCGCTAGCCTGGCGCGCCAGGACCTAGTCACGAGCTTGAGCAGCAAGACTGCTCTGGAGACTGCTCCGGGTGGGAGGGCGGGGACTTGGCTCGCTCCCAAGCCATAGGCCAGCGAGTCACCACGGGATCGGCGCACGGGACGCCACGCCGGCCGGGGTGGCCCTGCGCGGCCTCCTGGGCAAGGTGACCTGACCCCAGGAGGCTCAGAGACGGGCCCGGCGCCCCTCCAGGGCAGGCAAGAGGACCACGGGACCGTCGAGGAGGTCGGTGGCGACGAAGAGCTGCTCGACCCCCCCGTCGCCTCGAAAGACGACAATGCTCAGGACGGCGCCAGCGGCTCTCCCACGGCAAGGGACCAGTCCGCGGATTTCGACGAGGCGCGATTAGCATCCCCAGCGCTGTCGCCGAGCGAGCACGCAGAGGCAGACGAACGCCACCAGCAGCGCGACAATTCGCCCCCACCATCGCACGTGAGAAGCCGCGAGGACAGAAGCGAGGATGCAAGCCCGAGCGACGATCCCCTTGGCGCCTTCCGGGAGCAAGTTCCCCCTGCGCCCGCAGCCGCGGACGCCGCTGCATCCGCCAGCTCCAGAGGTGATCCGCTGCCACCACGGCGAAGCTACGCCGCCAGCGATAGGCGCGCACACAGCACCCGGGGACCGTGGACAGGCGCGCTACGCCCCCTGGCCACCATGACAGCAGGCGCCTTTCGACCCCTCCTCGCAGCAGCAGCGCGCGCAAGGCCTTCGACAATCTCCGTGACCCTGTCACGGGGGGAAGCATGCATCGAGAGCGCCTGGGCAGAGTCAACCTGGATTAAATCGGTGAGCTCCCTGCCGACAAATTCCGCGCCTTCAGAATACGCCGGGAGGAGCGTTCAACGGCAGCGGGATCTGGCGCGGCTACACGCTGAAGTCCCCGAATCGCGCCAAAGGGAAGCCCAAAAGCAACCCCCGCCTGAACGACGAGGCCAAGTGCAAGGGCCTCCTGGACGCCCTGCGCAGATCTGCCTGCAACGCCTACGATATGGACCAGAGACTGGAGCTCAACGTCGACCAGGGGGGGGGGGGCATCCGCGAGAGGCACAATCAAGAGGACCCTTGGCAAGGGCTCCCACCAATCACAGGGGTGGAGCTCTAGCTCCCAGCGCCAATCCTGGGGCTCGCGGGAAGGTTGGCCCTGGCGCGGCGGAGGGCAATCGCGGCGCGATCGCGACTGGCACGAAGGAGGCAAGCGAGGCAGGAAGAACAGTAACAGTGCTGACCATGACGACAAGAGATCCAGATGGTCGCGGCCCCCCTGCCACTGTCGCTGCACGCTTCGGAACCTCCAGACACCAGAAAGTGCGGCCGTTAGCCGCCTCAGCGCCGCCCCGTCTCCTGGCCACGCGTTCGCCCCCTTCTCCCCCTGCCCCCCCCCCCCCCCCATATCTTTTCATCAGCAGTTTGGCCGTTAGCCACTTGCTTCCCTGGCAGAGCCCCCCGGCGCAGACAGTGCGAGGGCGCCGCGGACGCTTCAGACCGGGCTCCTTCTGCGGCAACGGTCGCGAGAGCCGCAGGAGACACTCCCGCGTTTGGAGATGGGCCCCACAAAATGGGATGATCCGGATTTTGCGTTGGGAGGCGCGGCCGTTAGCCGCAGCTGTACTCAATGTGCCCCTGCCTCTCCGCCCCTCACGACCGGTTTCGGTCACGCTACAGCGTCTGGCCCGCCCCCCGCCCTTGTGGATCAGGCTCCTGGCGCTGTCAGTACCTGGCACGTTGCCCGCGCTGGGGCGAGGCCCAGCGCGCTGTTACACGGCCATGCCGTGTGCTGCTGTGTTCACCCTGGCCTTCTCCGCACCTGGCCGCAGCTCGTCACGGCCGCCAGCTGCTGACCTCGTGATGACCGGCGATGGTCCCCCACACTTGGGGGCCAGGCTCCAAGGCGCCGTCAATGCCGGGTGCGCTGGCCCCTGCTGGGATGGGGCGCGGCGTGCTTCACGGCCTCGGCCGTGGGCTGTAGTTGTTTTCGCCCTGGCCTTTGCTCGGACCTGGCCACAGCCTGGTTCGGTTTATCTGGCACTGGCCCCTCTCGTCGCGATGTCTCTCGACTCGCGCGCCTAGTCCTGGGCCCCTGGCCTCAGGTTGCCTCAGCCCTCGGCTGTCTGCGACCCCGCTCAGTCCCTCGCGCCTGGTGGCATGTATGCTGGTCCCGTGGGGTCGGGTGGGGCACCCTGGCGTTCAGGTGACGTGCGTTTTGACCAGTTCCGGCAAGAGTGCTTGCATATCCTTGGCCTCTGGTTTCCAGTCACCGCCACAGCCTGGCTGTGTCTGCCGTTGCCGTTGGTTCGTTGGCACTCTGACCCCTTGGTTTTCTCAAGAGTGGTTCAGCCTTCTTGGTCGGCCATGTGTGATCATCCCCGTTGGCCTGCAGCCTAGCACGTTGGTCTGCTTATGCAGCCCCGCGCTTCGCCACGCCTGTGGCGCGTCGACCTCTGGCGCCTTGCGCGACAAGGTTCAACTCATCCTTCCTAGTGGTCTCGTCCCTGGGATGCCCGCACGCTTGCCTGGCCATCTGGCAGCTCCCGGCAGCTCCTGCAGCCTCAGCCTTCGGCGCAGCCCAACGTCCCTCAGCTGACTTGTGACGCCGCTGGCGCCTTCGCCTGCGGCTGCGACGGAAAAAAGCAACCCCACCGGCCCATCCAGAGACGATGTCCATTTGGAGCGTTTTAGGTGCCTCGGGGAGCCTCGTGGGGGTCTCTTGGGAGCCTCTTGGAGGCCTCTTG